CAAAAAAGTTACAGCGAATTAAAATGTTATCAAGATAAATTGAACACACGGTACAAGCATGTGGTATTCTGTGGAATTCCAGTGGGATTCCAATGGGATACCTTTGCTTGATGAGTCAATGTTTTTAGTTTGTATCTAGAGATGGCCCTGAGAATATTCTCCAAAGAACTTCATTGAGAACAGAGAATTTACCGAGAATATTCTTTAACCTTAAATTCTCGAGAATTTATTATTTTTTTCAGGTTCAAGAATGTATGAGAATATAGGGTAATTTGGAGAATTTATAGGAAGTTAGCTGTCATTTTTAAATTTATCAGTTCGTTGTGAAAAACGGAAAACAAAGCCGGAGTCTCATGCATCCGTCATCGATATCCGAAAAACCTTTTATTCTGACATATTTTTCAGGCACTGAGTACTGAGTGTATTTCCAGCTCTTTCTCTCAGCCTCTTAAAGAAACAGAGAGAAAGACAAACACATTTTTTTTGAACGATTTCTACCAACTAGAAACGCCATAATTTATTACATTGTTCCCGTACTGTACAGAGCGTGTGTAAAGAAATATTTAATTTAATAAATTAAAACATATTTGAAAAGAAACCAGAAAAAAATTGTACTAACATCAATATATAGATCACATGATATAAAGGCTGCAGATTTTATTACTGATTTGGAAGTATACCTAAAAACAATTAAAAAAAACGAAGAACACTATATCATAGGAGATATCAATATAGATTTGTTGGAACCAGATGCAAGCGGAGATGCTTACATTAACAACTTTTATGAAAGAAGCTTCATACCACTAATCACTAGTATCACAAGACCAGCGACGGGAACATGTTTGGACCATATTTTTGGATCAAACTTCACAAATGTAAGAACTATAGTTTATGAACAATTAATTACTGATCATTATATAACACTACTATTGATAGAACATAATATTAGTAAAAAAGTTAAAACTGATAGTGAATATATTGACCACAAAAAGTTGTTGAGTATTGCAAATAATTATGACTGGAGTAATCTTATTACTCGTGATGTTAATGAAAGTACAAAAAAATTGGTTTCTCAGATAAAAAATATTATTGCAATGTCAACAACCAAATCAAATAATAATCGCAAAAAAATTGTTAAAAGAAAAAATTGGATAACAAAAGGTTTAGTAATATCTTGCAAAAATAAAAATAAGCTCTATTATAACTGGTGTAAGAATAAAGATAGCGTAACACTGAAAAATAAATATCTGCAATACAATAAAATCTTACAAAAATTAATATCAATTGCCAAAAGTAATTTTGAAAGGAATTATGTTTTAAATAATTGTAAAAATACAAAAAGCACCTGGAATTATGTAAATAAAAAAATAGGTAAATACAAGGATAAAAAAATTGAAATTAAAGAAATTGTGCATGATGGAGTACATTTCACGGATAATCAAGATATTTCGAATACTTTTAATGAATATTATAATAATGTTGGACTTGATATGGCTAACAAAATTAATCTTAATACACAAGAAAACAGGGAAAAAATAAAGTCAAACGCCAATTCAATTTTTCTATCTTTGACAAATGAGTTCGAGGTGGGGAAAGCTATAAAAAATTTAAATAGGGGAAAAGCTGGTGGTGTAGACGGTGTACCAGTTAAGGTGCTACAAACACTTTGTTCTTTTGTGGCCAAACCTCTTTCGGAGCTTATTAATAATGTCATTAGCACAGGTATATGCCCAGATCATTTTAAGAAAGCAGAAATTATTCCTATATTCAAAGCACAAGATAAGCTTTTAGTTTCAAACTATAGACCCATTTCCCTAATTTCAAATATTGCTAAGGTGTTTGAGAAGGTAATCCATTTTAGGCTGTGTAATTTTATTGAAAAATACAATATTTTGAATAAAAGGCAATTTGGATTCAGGAAAAAATTGTCCACAAACAATGCATTGAACGTTTTTGCTAACACAATATACAGTAGTTTGGATAAGAGTCAACCGACTATGGCTGTTTTTCTAGACCTGGCCAAAGCCTTCGACACGGTTGATCATTCTATTCTATTAGAAAAGTTGCATAGAGTGGGAGTGAGGGGCCCAGCGTTTGATCTGCTCCGGAATTATTTAAGTAATAGAACACAACGGGTAAAAGTTAACAGCACCTACAGCACAGAATTAACTGTGAAGATGGGTATACCTCAAGGCACCATTTTAGGACCCTTTTTCTTTATAATCTACTTGAATGATTTATTGGAGTTAGACGTTGACTCACATATTATGTCATATGCGGATGATACTGCAATCGTCCTGTCGGGGGAGAGTTGGGCGGGTCTGGAGAATCAAGCTAACAAGTCAATCAATAGAATAGCATCGTGGTTGAGGAAAAATAGATTGTCATTAAATACAGGAAAAACTAATTGTATGTTGTTTGGCACATATAATGACAAAGTTCCTGATAGTCTTAGGATAGTTATTCATGATCGGGATGGAGAATGTAACATGTGTAGCTGCAGACCATTGGAATGTACTAGAAGTACTAAGTACTTAGGTGTTGTGGTGGACAATAACATGAAATGGAAGCAACATATAATTGGGTTAAATAAGAAAATAAGATATTTATTATTTGTTTTTAAAAACCTTAAACATGTATTGGACACAAAAACCCTGCTGATGATCTACTATGCCCTATTTGAATCTGTGGCTACATATGGTATCGTCTCTTGGGGATGTGCATATGGCAATGTGATAAACTATGTACAAAATATACAGAATAGAATTATTAAAATAATTTTTGGGATAAGAAGTGTGAACCTAAACCAAATCTATAAAAATAAGATGATTTTGACAATTAAACAAAACTACTATTATAAATCATTAATTACAAATTATGACTCCTTGAAAATTCAATATTTATGTAGACAAACAAACACCAGAAACCGAAATATTCCATGCATACAAACACTATTGGAGGTGGGTAAAAAGTCATCCGAAGTAAATGCTATTAAACTCTTCAATTTATTACCAAACAATCTAAAAAAAAGTAAAACAATTAATAACAGATTTAAACATATTATAAAAGAATTTTTAATAAATGAAAACATCACCCATTTGTGAAATTTGGAAATTTTGTACCTTATTACACTTTTACATTAATTATTAATAATTTATGAAATATTATAAAGCTTGTAGTATAAGTAAGCATTTTTAAATAATTTAGTTCTTACGGTAACTTTAGTTTAGGTACCAGGCCTGCTCACAGACGCATGTGCGCCTCATGCAGGATATATATTTTATATGTTTTATATTTTATATTGTAATATTTCTTACACCTGGAATAAAAATTGAAAAAATTGAAATATTAGTTTTGAGGAAATTCCTTCGAAAATTAAACCTAGAGGGTTGATATGAAAATATTTCAGACAAAATAAGGACAACAAATTTCAATGTAAATTTGTGATTTTGTATATCAAAAAAATGCGAAAAGCCCCAAATGATGTTAAGAAGCTATGAAGCTATATTCTTCAAAATTCTCTAAAATTCTCCAATGCTACCGAAATAAATTCTCGATAATTTTGCCATCTCTACAGTGTTGCCAATCGGCGAAGAATTCTCCGTTTTTCGGAGAATTTTGCGGAGATTCGCTTTCTGCGGAGAATTGCGCAGAGATATTTTTTTATCATTATTCACAAAAAAATTAAAATTTATTCAAAATTTCAGCTAAAACAAAAATTCAAGAAGATATTTGGGATATACCTTGCGTTTGGTATTTTGCTCAAAGAGCAGAGCATGCTGAGCGTAGCCGTAATCACGTGACCAGCGAGCGAACAGAGCAGTTAAACGCTGTATCAGAGTGCCAGAAATTTTATTAAACAAACGCAAATGAGCCTGCACCAAGTACAATTTTTATATAAACGAATGGTAAATTCAAGCTCGGAGAACGCAGATCAAAATACCGAACGCACGGTCAGTGATTCAGAACAAAAAAGTGACTTATTGGACATAAATGACATGACATACCATAACTTCGTTCCAACCTCAATGGTTCCAACCCAGCAGAGGGAACAGGGAACCGTACATTTCACCGTCAGGATTCTGCGTAAAACGTAAAAAGTGTGCAGAGAATCCGAGATTCGCTTACAGTGTGGTTGCAAAACCGTTCTAGAGACGTTTTTTTGGCGGATTGAAACAGACCTCATAACGTCCATCCATTAAATTTAAAATTATTGAATTTCATGAAAATGAATAAATAGTTAATGGGGCACGTTCTAAAGTAAGGCCAACGAGTAACGACAATCAAACGGTTCGACTATTTCTCAAGAAACACGAAAATTATCGTTTTGTTCCAACACAGCAGGAAACCGTACACTGCACCGACACGATTCTGCGCAAAGCAGAAAATTTATGTGTAGAATCTGAAATTCATATACAGAGTGGTTTCAGAATCGTTCATGGGATGGTTTTTGGCTTGTTGGAACAGACCTTATAAAAGCTGAGAATTTCAGCAAAATGCGGAGAATTTTATTGGTCAAGATGGAGAATTTGGGTGCGAAGGATTGGCAACACTGCATCTTTATTTGTATCTATGTAGTTGGCGCCTAAACTTGGTCCAGAGTCTTTGCTTGCTAGCGTTCAAAATAATTCACAAGAAATTCCATGGAATTTCTGATGAATTCCATCGGATTCTAATAGAGTAGGATACCGTGAGATTTTAGTGGGATTTTGGGGGATATTTCGTTTGAAAGTGGGATTATGGTGACTACATTTTTCAAGGTGGTTTACAGTTTAGGCTTTACCCTTGTAGCATAATAATATTGCATTAATTACAAAATGTTTTCAGTAATTGTTCAGAGTAGTTTTTTACTGCTAATTATGATTATTATATTATAAATAAACTAAAAACTTTCCATTATGTTCTAGTAACCTATATATGAATGTTTAAGCTATATGCAACAATATCGAAATCAGTTACGAATTAAAGCCTAAAAATACCAATTAAATACATATATTTACCTGCAAAACCACTTCGACTTCATAAGAATTCCCTTTGCTTTTCTGAAATCCTTGAAATTTCGATCCATTATACAACAAACTGTTCGTTATTCCGGGCTGTTTCGAATTGGCCGGAGGCGGTAGAGTGGGATCCACCCTTACCGGCATTTTTCGCACCGAATTTTCAAAGTTTATCAAAGAATTCCGGCGGATTTCCACTGGAAAATTTATCGCCTTTCTATTTCAGCAAAAAAATGACCTACTCAAATGACGTGTTGTTTTGACATTTGATCTGTCACACAACAGTCATAGCCACACAAGGATAATACAGTACCATAGAATAGCTTATCTTCTTAAAGCCTGTGTGGATCAAATCTCAAGCGTTTCTCTCAAGCATCTCACCGTGCCAAAGAACCAGTGATGACGTTTCAGCGTGTCGTTTTTTTTTTGCCCTATGCTTACTTGATTTTAGTAAAATTATATAACATTTTAAAACAACACTTTTTTAGATCTCGTTTGCAATCATCTTCCTCTTTGCAGTCTTTGTCTATTATGTTAATCAAAATTGAATAATATTTTTCATCATAAATGTGTATTCTAAACTACGACCCAAGGTTCATACACTTCAAGTATGCACGAGCTGCTTTCGAGTTTCGGGTGCTACCCTTTGAGCGCTCCCGAGTTACTTCGAAGTACTCCCGTTCGGTTTCAAGCGTTCGAGTGCAAAACGCATGGAGTATGACAGGTCACTGACAGGTGTGAAGTGTTCTAGGAGCACCCGAAAGCGGCTCATATTATATTATTATATATATATATATATATCATATTATTTATATTATTATATATATATATATATATATATATTATATTATTTTTTTAGTTGTATTTCTTTCAAGAGTTTGAAACACTCGAGCTACTCGCTCCGGTGTTAGTCGCCCCCGATTTAAAAGATGCATGGTGCAACGTAAACACTTTTCGAAGGAAATAAGCGCGTAACGCCCCGGAGCTCCTCCTAGTATGAAAAAAAATACAACATACAACTATTGAGAGACCGGCCCTCTGTATTGACGGGCCCCTGCGATTTTTCAAAAAACAAATAGCTTTGTGAAATCCTCGTATTCTATTCTTTTTGCACAATTAACATGTTCAGTTCAAATTATGTCCTTGGCAGAACACTAAATTTTTAATTTTTAGTTACAGATTTTTGCTCGCGGTTCAACTAGAATTAGTAAAATTGATGCTGGATCGATTATCTGGAATGTAATCGAACAAAGCTCTTCAAATAAAAAACAGACTTTAATTGATGATTCGGAACTATTCTCATACACAGTTCAATGGTTCAAAAAATATCATTTAGAGAAATCACAAAACAATTAGAGTGAATTGGTTATTGATACTAGTTTTCTGACTGTTTCTGACTATTTTTAACCAATGACTGGTTTGTGATTTCTTTAGAAACAGGCCTTTATTACTTTTTTGCTGAAAGTGTAACTGGGCTGGGACCCCAGTAGAATAATTCTACTATAATTCTACTTTCATGACGTCAGGTTGTCTAGCAACCGGTACTATACGCGATAAATAAGTCGCAGGTGACGTCATGAAAGTAGAATTATTTTACTTGTCGTGATCCCAGCCCGAATCCATTATGATCTAGTTCTATCGGTTCCAAGGAGAGAGCAAGAACGAATAAGTTCGAGACAAGTTGTAAATCTGTTTCGAAATCATTTAACAAAGCTAATTTTCATTGCGGAAAGGTTCCAAACAGAGATAAATAATAAGTCTATAAACTGAGGCGTTTTCTCGCAACTACTTCTTTGAAACTGGTTCAAAACTGTTTTGAAACAGTGCATTCTCGCATTAAACCCATGACGTCACGTCAAAATTGGTTCAATTCGTTTCGAAATACAATCCAATCCACGTTTTCAAACCATTTTCTTGCTCCGAGAAATTATGACGTCATAGTGACATTACTTAAACCAGTTTTGAAAAATGTTTTCAAACATTTGAGACGCGAGAAAACGCCTCTGGTTCCAGAACTATTCTCATGCGCATGCGCAGCTTGAGATTCACTAATAGCGTATTTCATTGGTAGAGTCAGTAAAACACTCCCACTGACACCGTTCTCGTGTTTTAAAAAAACTGCACGTGTGCAGTCCCAATACTCCTAATGTCAATGAAACCAAAGATGATACACACAGGATAGCCTATTCTCATAAAGCATGTGTGGAACAGATCCTCCCCTTGTGACGTAGACAACAGGTCTGTTCCCACAGGAGTTTCTGACAGTTTGCAACCTGTCAGAAACAATCGCTCAGCTGAGTTACAGATTTATCTTGTAACGACAGCATTGAAAACATGTATGGGCGATGGTTACTGACAGTTTGCAAACTGTCAGAGACTCCTGTGGGAACAGACCTAACATGTTATTTCTTGCCTTGACGTAGGCTGTTTAAGCAGCTGACGACTTAGCTATGACGTCGGAAATGATGACACACCAATTATGGCGGCGATTACCAAAAACGAGGCCGATAAGCAATCCTGGCCGAGATTCTAAAATCACGATTCGACACACGACTCGACAACGATACCAGCCTTGTCGTGTCGAAAGGTATAATTCCAATGAGATTTCTAACCTAGAATCGTCGGAAAAATCGTCTCGTTGTCGACTCGTATGTCGAATCGTGATTTTAGAATCCCCGGCCTGGGGGGAGATTCTGAAATCACGATTCGACACACGGCTCGATAACGAGACGCAGCTCGATACCGGCCCTGTCGTCTCGAAAGGTATGATTCCAATGAGATTCTAACCTAGGAGTGCGTTCGAAATCGCCCTAGGCGTTAACAGCGAGTACACACCAGCTATGAATTATTCATGGCTGGTGTGCACTTGGTGTGACGCTCAGGGTGATTTCGAACGCACTCCAAGATTGTCGGAAAAATCGTCTCGTTATCGAGTCGAGTCGTGTGTCGAATCGTGATTTTAAAATCTTTGGTCTGTAGGTGTGTATCATCTTGCAATGAAACATCATCGTACTGTATCAAGGTTGTTTGAGAGAGGAAGGTTAGGTTGCCTGATAACTTTATGACGTCATCTGGGATGCGTCTATATTATGCAAATCTCCATTGGGCACCCCATATGCGTCATCAAGTTACCCATTACCAGACAACCTATTAACTTTAGGAACCTTTGGTACTACAACATCCTATATACGTCAAAAGTCATTAAAAAGATTACTTTTGTGGTGCTTATTATAAATTATTATAATTTAATTTAAATAAGAAGTTCTTCCCGCTTTGAAAAATAAAATTTGGGACTGTTTTTTTAGGAAAAAACAACCAACAATAACCTCAATTTCAACAACAAGGCCGATAAGAGCCTTTTAGCCGGTAGCGCACCAACAGCACTCAGTGCAAAACTGAGTGCATTAAAAAAAAAATACGTTCCCAATGAAATACAAAAAGGCAGCGCGGATTCTGCCAATGGATCACGAAATTAATGATAATTAAATGTAATTTTTCTCCGAATGACAGTAAAAGCGGCCTTTTAATGACACATGACAGGATCAAAAGTTGTATTTTTACTGCCTAGGCAGTAAAAATGGACTTTTACTGCCTAGGCATTAAAAGTGACAGTGTCACAACGTTCCAGGTAATAATTTCACTCAATTTGGTATTTGAAATTGACGGTGACAATGACAATTGTCAAAATAATTTAATTATTTGGATAATAATAATGAATCAAATAAATATAAAAAAGATGTGCATGTGTGAATTTGAACATTCGGAGAAAAAATTATATGTTTTACATGGCAGAAAAGCAGATTTAATGCCTCGGCTGGTTTCCTATGAAACACCAGCCGCGGCATTAAATCTTGTACTTTTCTGACTAGTAAAACAAATAACTATTTTTGTATTGCTTATTTGCAATCAATGCGCAATATACAGCAATACAAGTCACTATTTTCTCAAAACAAGTCACTATTTTCGTAAAATGCAATAGTCCTTTTCACGTGGCTCCGGTTTAAACTAACCGAGTTACAAAACGGTTAGTAGCAGTATGTCAAGTATATGACATACCGTTTTCTAACCCGCTTACAAAGTGACGTGATCGAGACCACCTGAATTTGAGCGGTATGTTGCGGTTTGTTAAACCGGAGCCACGTGAAAAGGGTTAATAATTGTGGGAACCTTGCTACGACCGATGGCGCAAACAGCTGACGACGTAGTTGATGACGCCATCAATGGTGCTATACCAATATGGCCGCGATTCCCATAGACGAGGCTGATAAGCAACCGATTATTTTCGAATATTTGACTATTTTCGATAATTCGATTATTTTCGATTTATCAATTATTTACAAATAATCGATTAATAAAATATTTACGAATAAATCGATTACCTATTTTTTTAAAATAATTTTTGGTTTTGTTTTTGCATATCTAAGGGTCGGTTTATTCACCTTTTGATAAACTGTCAGGTATGCAATCTGACGGATAAAAACGCATTCTGTAATTCCATGGATCAGCCGACCGGTAGAATTATAGAAGAATAGTTTATCTTGCAGATAGTTGCCAACCAGCAAGTCTATCTAACCGGGCCTTAAATTTCAAAGTAACCAGAAACCCTTTTCACATGACTCCGGTTTAACAAACCGCAACATACCGCTCATATTCGAGTGGTATCGATCACATCACTTTGTAACGGGTTAGAAAACGGTATTTCATTTCTCTAACCGTTTTTTAACCCGGTTGGTTAGTTTAAACCGGAGCCACGTGAAAAGGATTAGCGTTTATTTTAAAACAAGCTCAATTTACATATCGTATAATTAATGTCATACGTTCAGGTATATGAAAAACTATAGGTATATTATTATCGTCTACAGATATTACATAACATTTACGTATAGAGGTTTTCTCATTAGGCAATCGAATCCATCTGTCAAAGAGGAAAATTCAATATGGCGTGGCGGCCAAGCATATCTGTTTTGAATATGTTTTCATGCGTATTTTAAATTATTTTGCTTGCAACTTTGATTTTGATTATTTAATAAAATATTTGTTGACTGGGTATCTAAAACTATTAAACATTATCCGTCGTTTTTAATCTGACATTTTCTGTATGAGGAGCGAGCAGGTGTGGCATATACAGTTCTAATACAGGGTGCCACAACACAAGCTCACATTTCTTTCAAGTATCAGATTAAAATCGACAGACTTTACTAATAATATTTATGTAAAATTGATGTAATCTTTGTAATAAAGTTTACATTAATATAAATCATTTATATCAACTTGAGCATGATATATGCATTACATTTAACTTAAATTTGACAACACACAGTTTCAATAAAGACGACCATTTCAGGTCTGTATTATGTCTGAACGTCTGAAGATCAAAAAAAGACGTTTAGAAGACATTATTTTTATTTGAGACATCTCGTTAAAGACGTCGTTAGAATGTCTTATTATTCCTGAAGACGTCTTTATAACAAACGTCTTAAAGACGTTAGATTGTGTATGTGTAACATACGACGTCTTCACGCAAACGTCTGAAAGACGTAGGGTTGTGTAACATAACAGCTTCTCGCCACTCCCGATACCGGGGCTTGTCGATATTTTTTTGCAACTTTTCAAATTGGAAGTTTCAGATAAATCCTGGTATTCTCAACCCAAAAACAAATTTCGTTTTAAAATTTTCAAACTTCGTCAAACAGCTTCAAATTTGATATTTCCATATTCAGAATGATCCAAAGATTTCAAAACTACTGAAAAAATACTAAGTTGCCATTATAGACTTTCGTTGTAGATATAAGCAATATACAGGGTGTTCCACCGGGAACCAAATCGATTTTTACATATTTACAATAATAGTTGGTTTTTAATGATATTGATTTAAAAAAACAACCTCATTAAATGTGTTAACGGTTATATTATTTTTGATAAATTATTATTAGTACAAAAGAAGAGACATCTGCACAAAAATCTCAAAAATATTTTGCACATGAAACTTATAATAACTTTATTTACACTCAATTCTTTGACAATCACAGCGCATACAATAATTTATTAAAATATATTAATCCGATTTGTACTAAGACTACAAATTTTTTGGAGGGCAAATAACACCAATAGGAAAAAAATTAAACGATTTGTTCTAACTACAAAAATTACAAAACATACAAAAATAGATTTTCTACATTTTGAACAAATATTAACAATGAGGTACAACCTAAAATGATCCAGTACAGTATACTAGAAATAAAAACAAATTTGTGAAGTTGCTACTTTTATAGTGGATCATTCCAAATTCTCAAATCACTTTTAAACAACTTACAACTAATAATCAAAACAATTTAGTTCCAATATCCTAATTTCAGTAAACTAATAAAGGCGTGTTGGACATTAACTTCATTACCGGCAACACTTATTAAGTAATTACCAGAAATATATTCAGTTTCCGTGCGCCCCGCATTTTCCACTACGATTTCTGCGGTTTTGGCATTCCAACAAACAATGCCTTGGTCGTAGAAGCCTAAAACTACACCGTTTTCCACACAGACACCTTTTAATCTAGAGGAAAAATAATTTTTTGAGTGAGTGACAAAATATACATAAAATTATTACCTGTCATAAACAAGAGGTGGTTTATAACTAGCCAATCTCTTCCAAGAATGGTTCATGCTGTGTATAGCAATCAGTCTCAATTCCCTGTCCACGCATTGTTGCAATGTGAATAAAAATCCCTAAATTGAGAAATTAAGTTTATAAAATTAGTTTTGAAATAAATTATTGAGAATTTACCCTATCGCATTTGACCCATAGAGTGGCAAGTGGAGACTTTATTTCGGTCATTTCAATGGTAGCTGCCAAACGACCGCCTTCGATATTCCAAAGGGTGATTTTGTTTTCCCCACAGCCCATGATTAATGTGTCACAACCTGGAAGAAAAGTTGCCATTGTCTAAATAATATAAGAAGAAAAATGATTTTTTTTGACATAGATAAGGCAGTTCAATATAAGAACAGTTTAAATTCATAAGCTCCTAAAGTCTTGGTAGTTTAAATCTGCATTGACGTTAAAATTTGAAAATTTTCTTGGCTTTTGGGGCATGATCCCAGTTTGGTATGATTGAACATGACATATTGGAGTGAAGCATCCATGGAAAACCGTAAAAACAGTGGAAGTAGATACATTTTTCATAAGGTTTCTGGTATGTTTCAAATGTATGTATTTTTTATAAGTAAATAAATAGTAAAGAGAACATATTCAATATTCTAAATATTGTAAAGAGGCTAAGTAAGCTTGAGTTGTTGGTCTAGAACCAAAACTCAGAGACAATAGAGAAAATTGCATAAAACTTGAACAACGAATTGTTAAAATGGAGCAAACAAATCTAAATTATAACCTTCTTACTAAAACGATGAAATTTCAAATTTTTTTTTGTCGAGATTTTGTATCCTAATGGTCAGTCAACATCCCCAAAACTCCATACACTAAATTATTCTCAAATTTGAGCCGAAATCTATAGAAAAAGGCTCTCAGAAAAATTGATAAATCACCCCAAATTGCTTAACACGATTTTATCTCAGGAGCTATAAGTGCAAATGCGCTGAAATTTTCAGGGATTGTAGTCCCTTGATTGGGATAAAATTCAGTTTCAGCTGTCTATCCATAATAGAAAAAAAGTTATAATCTTTCAAAGTTTTCCAAAATCTAAATCATAATGGTGACGATGAAATTTCAAACATTTGGTTTGGCTAGGTGAGCCCGTTCTTGAGTTATAAAATTACAACGAAAAGTGGCATTAATTTTTATATATACCTATAGATACAATATTAAGATTTTTATTTGTTTTTTTTTTAGGGTAAAAGGGCCATTATTGTTCACTTATTTAGCCGAAAGAGGTGATTATTTAGAAGACGACGTCAAGTTGTACACAAGCCAACTTATTTCAGCCTTAGCCTGGCTTCACAGGAAAGACTTGGTACATTTGGACATTAAGCCTGAAAACGTAATGGCAGACACTTCATTTTCACCACCCCTATTAAAACTAGTAGACTTTGGTGACTCAGTAAACACATCTAAAAACGTCATCCTACCTCCTGCTTGTTTGGAGTTTGCCTCACCAGAATTCGTTTAGGTTTAGGTCAGCCTGTTGGTAAACATACAGATGTTTGGGCGGCAGGAGTTTTTCTCTATGTCCTTTTAACTGGAAGTTTCGCTATTCTTGGACGATTCGATGGAAGAAACCACTGCTAATATTTTGGAATGCCACTATTGCATTGCTATCCAGACGAGTATTTTTGTAGCGTTTCTGATAATGCCAAGGAGTTTATTGGGAAGTTATTGGTATTGGTGCCTGGACAAAGAATGGATATGGAAAAGGCTTTTTGAATTTTCCTTGGATCAAAGAAGTAAAGTATTTATGTGATTATTATTGGAGATTTGTTAATATTGCTATTTTTTTCAGGAGAATTTATTATTTTCAACATCCCCCAAACTCCATACACTGAATTATTCTCAGAAAAATTTAAAAATTGATATATTACCCCAAATTGCTTAACACGATTTTATCTCGCAAAAGAGCTGAAATTTTCGGGGATTATAGTCCCTTTAGTGAGATGAGATTCAGTGAAAGTTTCAGCTTTCCATCTTTAAAAGAAAAAAAGTTATGACCTTTCAAAGTTTTCCAAAATCTAAATCATTCTTACTAAAACGATGAAATTTCAATTTTTTTTGTTGAGATCTCCATATACCAAGTTATTCCCAGATTCGAAGCCGAAATTTATGAAAAAAGGCAATGAGAAAAATTTAAAAATTGATAAATCACCCCAAATTGCGTTGTAAATAAGGCAATCGTGATGTCTAATGAATAATGAAAATTTTGATTCATTTCTAAACAACTCACTGAACTGAAGAATGAGATTAAAAATTCTGATAAAATTGTTTCAAAATATGAATTCAGATATAGAAAATTATGTAAGTACACGTAGATTGTGTGAAAAATATAGAGCAAAATCCAATAATAATTGAAGAACCACCGAACAAAATTTCAACTCAAACTCAAGTTTGAAGCTCAGTAACTTCATAACCGTATGAGCCATTGGTATCAAATTTTACTCAATTTATGAAAAACTCAATGCTCTTTCAAAAAATATATGATTAGGGCCAATTTGCCTTGTTATAATTGCCAATATGAGCAATTATTCATATCTATGTCAAGATTTCAAAAAATTCAACAACCCAAAAACAGGATTTTCAAATTAACTTTTCCACAAAGAGAAAACTTCAATTTATAAATCCTGAAAGTTTCAAGTCACTGTGATCATTAGAAGTACTTTGCACAAGTGATTTTTGCAGATTTTAATCGTTTTTGCATGCATTAACGTAAGAAAAAGCTTCCAAATTTAGTTTCGAGCTTCAAATCAACTTCAAATTAACTTTTCCACAAAGAGAAAACTTCAATTTATAAATCCTGAGAGTTTCAAGTTACTGTGATCATTAAAAGTATTTTGCATAAATGATTTTTGCAGATATTAATAATTTTTACATGCATCAACGTGAGAAAAAGCTTCCAAATTTAGTTTGGAGCTTCAAATTAACTTTTCCACGAAGAGACAACTTCAATTCATAAATCCTGAAAGTTTCAAGTCACTGTGATCATTAGAAGTACTTTGCACATATGGTTTTTGCAGATTTTAATCATTTCTGCATGGATTAACGTAAGAAAAAGCTCCCAAATTTAGTTTGAAGCTTTAAATTACCTTCAAAGTAACTTTTCCAAAGAGAGGAAACTTCAATTTATAAATCCTAAAATTTTCAAGTCACTGCGATCATTATTCATTAGAACCGGTGCAAAGCTGGCACCCGAAAATCAAGCACACCTGATTTTCTCAGGAGTTCTGAGTACTTTTAGGATAGTTCTAGAGTTCTGAGAGGGGTGCAACAATAGTTCTCATGCCTAAGTATTTTTTTTTTAAAAAACAAAAAAAGGGGTGCTAACTTCGCGCCGCACCCCTTTTTGATAGTGCAACAGTTCTCGAGTGATTTTTCGGTTCTAAGGGTATAGTTCTAGAGTTCCTGATAGAAATTATGAATAGTTCTGCAAAAATAAAGCTAATATAACGGAAAAAGTTTTCAGGCGCCCCAGCCGTATTGCGGGACATAGCATCCCGATACATCAGACATTACGCGATACATTTGAAGGCTCGTTGAGATGTATGGAGGCTGCTGGGGTCAGAACTATGGGTTAGCACTCCATAGTTCTGGTGTCTACTATTACTCTACTATGGATAAATTTCAAAATTAACTGGGGTACTGTGAAATACACCGGGTTTCCACGCGCACACTGGCGTATCTAGGGGGGGGCAAAGGGGGCAATTGCCCCCCCCCCAGAGCAACATCTTTTTATTCATTCTATTTTTTAAATATTTGTTGAATAATAAAAAAATAAATTCAAAAATGTAGGTACTGAAATTAATTTAATAAATAATAATTTTTTTAACTACATGCTTTTTTGTAAATAGAAACTGTTCAGTTGTACGCTGTGCTTGACAATTAGGAAATAAAAGTCAAAATACTAGTTTTATATTCAGCGTAGTGTATATTAGGTACTAGCTGCCTAGCGCTTTCGCCTTTGAGCCATCATCACTCATCAGGGCTCAGACCGAGGCTCAGACTTTGTCAAAAGGCGACACCACCAAAAACACAAAAACCATCTTTCTCAAAAGCAATAATAATTGTCTGGTAAAGCTGGTAATGCAAAAAGTACCTTTATGATTCAATCTTTCTGTGGAATGTACAATCCATGTGGTACAATCATTTAGCTCCTATTGCATAACCTATATTTCAAATTTGGGCTTAATCCCTCGAAAGCAGCAGGAGCTCGAACACGTCAATTTTTGTTTTACGGGGGACACATTTCATTGGTATTTTCACTCCCTACCTGTCAAGCCCTAAGCGGGGGAGACAGGTACCTCCAAAATTTCAAATGCAAAAGGGGGTCGAGTAATACCAAGGATGATACACACTACTAAGGATGGCTTATCCTCATAAGGCCTGTGTGTAACAAATCCCCCCCTACCCCGCCTAGCCAAAAAATCAGTTGTGACGTAAACATCATGGCGTTTTTCGTCTTGACGTAGGCTGTTTGCACCACAGGTTATGTTATGATACTGTGGTTATGATCTGGCTGCTGGCTGGAAATTATGGAACTAGTTTCTAGTATAATTAAAGTCTAAAATTATAAAATTATATCAGATACATATAATCATGACTTTTAATAATTACTGTTGTGTTCCTCAATGCAAGTCTTGGGCTAAAAAAAAAAGCTGACAAAGGATTGAGTTTCTACATATTTCCCCTTGAAACAGGCCCACAGGTTTATTTGGAAACGAAAATGGAAAAAGAAGTGTCGAGAAGAAAAGCCTTCTGGATTTTAAAACTTCGTATTGGCAAACCAGTCACCAAATTCATGAAAGTGTATTCTCTGCATCTCAATTAAGCAAGAATTTTGTGTTAAGGTAAACAAGCATAATGGATAGTTTTGTGCCCTAGCTTCATTTTAGGCCTGCTTCTAGGCATTTATCAAGTACTATCTATTTTTAAAATGTTTTGTTTGAAAATATTGACTGTTTTTATTATTTACAGGTGAGAGTCCAGGTCTTAGGGCGGGTATTATAAAACTGCTTTGACAGTTAACTTAAAGTTAACTTTTTGAATTACATGTAATTCCAGAAGTTAACTCTCAAAGTAGTTTTATAATACCCACCCTTAGAGGTACAGGTAGAGGTCGGATATTGAAAAAAACAGTTGTACCATCCCAGAATTTGCCCTCTTCTATAGTGATCCATAAACCGAGCCAAAAAATAGATTCCATGGGTGCTGAAAAACTTGCCGAAAGAAAAAGAAATCAAGATTCTAGTGAGACTGATACAAG